TCGTGTTAATTTAGGGTGTGACGATATACTGGAATTGGCGATAACCACAATATTTAAAATGAACAGGACACTTATGATAACATGACACGCAAATAGCCTACTCCAGCGCCAGTACCTGGTTGACCTCCCAGGTGGCAGTATTGCACCTTAACGCTGACACCTGTCAATCAAGAAGATGCAGCGCATCAAGAACCATGTTCAATATTATACAGACAGTAAGTTTCCATTATTTTACTAGTCATGGAATGAGAAATGTTACATTAACCTGTTAACAGCGGTTTCCTGTGTTCATATATTTAAATAAAGGGGTGATTCTTTTAATAAGTACCACGTTTTCTTTACTAGTCTAATTTTTGTATTTGTATTTGCAATTAAGTCATGGCCAATACATGTGCGTAGCACTTGATTTCTTTGTTCAAATCTATTACACGATTAAAAATGTCAGGTTAAAGTATCAGTTTTGATGTTAATATTTATTAATCATACTGTTGAACTTGACAGTATTTTCTCTCTTGTTATTTCATAGGGAGCTTCAAAGAAGACAACTAAAGCCAGAGTCTCAGGTCAGCTGTGACCCGAGGAAGTGAAAATTCATGTGCCCTGTGTTTACTAAAGAAAAAAAAAAAAAACTAAATAAACAAAGTAAAAATTAATTTGGCTGATTCCCCAAGGTTTCTATAGATATCGCAATATATCGATATCATGAATTCTTTTGGCCACAATAACCGTGGTGTGAAAAATCACTGAAACCAGATCGCACTAGCCATACAAAACAATGTTTTTGCTTTTTATCTTTTTTTATCATGCAGCAGGCATAAGCTGAATGTCACTTAGAAAAAAATAATACCTCCTTAATATCTCTTTTCTCCTTAAAGCCACACAATTTGATTCATGCCTGTAGCAAAAACATTGTGGAACGAGTTACACACTAAAGGTTAATACTTAGTTCTAGGGATTTGAACAAAACCCTAGCATTAATTATAAGCTATAAAAAAGTGACGTGTTCACAAACACACAGTTTTGAAAGGATCTAAATGTTCCGTAAAGCTCTGACAATTGTGCTCTGTAAGCTACAGTAAAAAGCCGCTGCAGTCAGTTTAATCATTTGGGGCACAATCCTCCATTGTGCCTGCAGCACAGCGTCTTTTGACCCAGGTGTGAACTTGAGTGTCAATACCATTCTAGAGTCTGTTATTATTTGATCGGCAGCGGTCGGCTGGGGACATAATTCCAGTGCATTAGAGAGCCGGTCGTGCACTCACACTGGATCTAAGTGGCCAGCCATTTCAGCAGCAGCTACACTTCTCATTTTTCTCTGCTGGAATTCCAAGTGTTTACATCAAATTTGCAGTTATTTTTTCCCTCCTGTGCAACCAGAGACGCACCAAAAATAAGGGGAGACTGTGCAAAAAGGAAACAAAACCCAGAGAAAAGGTGGTCTTGAAGGGGATAGAGTTAATTTTAGATTAAAACGAGACAAGTGTGAGATTCAAAACATGTCTTTGTAGTTCACTCATTTTTAGCCAGAGCTCAGCAAGCGGTAAACGTGCTTCCCAGAGGTACTGCTGCCAAGGGTCTATCATTCATTAGGCTGCCACCATCATCACTTGCATTCCAGACACTTAATCACTAAGATAGAGATAAAATAAAAAGCTTGAAGGTCACCAGGGGGAGAGAGCGATAGAGGGGAGATAGCATAGAGGGGTGAAGATGTATGGCCTCATTTTGATTGAGGACGTGACGCTTTCAGTCACACGCGACAGAACACCCGATGAGGAGATGCGTTTTGACTGGAGACCTTTATCACAGACTCCAACGGTTTGCTGAGCTACACATCACAAGGAAAAGGCCCTGGAGAATTCAGCCGCAAATCGCAAGCGAAAACATTTAATAGGACTATCTGAGTCTACCCTCTTCCATATTCACTTTACGCTCTAGTAGGCGCGCGACAGTAGAGCGTTGAGTGAAACTCTGAATCTGAACCATCATGCATATTTCCCATTCTTTCCCATCAGGTGTTTTTTTGCCTGTCTACTCCTCTGATGTTTTGACATATTTCTCTGCCTCGTCGAGCGCTCGTCTCCGATTTGCCGTGCTGTTTAATGTTCATGAGGGGCGGCGCAAAACTCAACCCACTGGCTGTTGTTACAAGATCTCAGACGGACAAAAAAGATGAGGTGCACCGCTGAGGAGCCCCACACTCCACTGCCTCAAAATAAAAAGCGCCTTGACCTCCTCGGCAGCCAGCTTCACCTCTCAACTGTGACGGATGGACGGCGCCCTAGTCTCGTCCCGCGGCCCAGCGTGCTTGAATAATGCCAGCTCTCTGCACGCCCCGGGCCAACAGCCACCCACCATACTGGGAAACTTCTGATGCTTAATCTCCTGAAATGCAAATGTGCCAAATGAGAGATGGAGTCTGCCATGCTGCGAGTGTACACGGACACGGTTAAACCCTCCTCTAAGACCGGCTCAGACTGCACCGACAACCAAATCTGAACTATAATAGTCACTTTCTGAGCAGGAATTTGTATGGCATTTGAATTTGAAAGGGTGTACGGTGGGGCATACAGTTTTGCTCGAGGATATTGGATCTTTCAAGAGGCTTTGTTCGCATGCCGTGATGACAACGGCGGCGCGCACCAACTGAGGAGAAATTGTCAAGGCAACATGTATCGAATTTCACAAAAGTTCAGAGCAAAGCGATTTCCCTCCCCTCTCCAAACCTCCTGCCGAAGACGAAACAAGCGATCCACGACACATCCTCTTACTTTAAAGAAAACAAGCGGCTGACACATTTCCTGCCAACAGGCCCTTTCCTCAGATAACACAAGACTCCCATCAACAGGAAGCCCTTTCACCGGCAGCTCTGCCTCCCTTCGGCACGTTACACGAAACAGCTCCTCAACCCCAGCCCCCACAGCCTCCCCTCCAACTGTTGAGGAAAACTTGCAGAAGATGCTTGCTAAAAACAGTTTGCAAGGAACCGGACTTAAAAGTGTGGGCTGTAGCCTCGAGTCCTTCAAATGCTCTTGGTCTGAGACGCAGCATTTTAACAGCCTCAACAATACTCCTGAAATCAATTAACGTGCAGCCAGTGGTATCAACATTACACACAGCCTGCCATTACATCAGATCCCACAAATAGCTCTGGCCAGACAGACGGACATCGTTACGGTCTGTGTAAACCACGGGAAAGGGTGCACACAAAAGCACAAACATGACCTCTAGGCACGGGTCAATGCTTTAGATTTGTTAAAAGCCTCCAGTTCTGGTGCGCTCACCAGAAGTTTACACGAGTGAGTGCACGAGCACGGTAACGACGTATAAAGGATTTGAGGAAAGTTTGTAAAAAGCAAAGCAGAACTCACGTGCATTTGAAGAGCAGTGAGAGAAGGCAACCTTCATAAGGTAGGTGCTGTACTGTTTTAGCAGCTGCTAATAGGAGAACTGGCAGAAGAGAGAGAGAGAGTGAGAGTGAGAGAGAGCGAGAGAGAGAGAGAGAGAGAGAGAGAGAGAGAGAGAGCAGACACTTTCTGCAGGCTGCTGTGATGACATGCAGGCTTTTTTTCCTTTTTTTTAGTAAGGGGGCTTATCTTTGTCTCTATGGTAACTGTGTCTCTGGGTGGTTATTAGAAACCCTGAACTTCCTGTACATCTGCAGGATCAGCCAATCACGAGCCGTGTTTTCATAGGCGGAGATAGCTCGTGCTATAGGCAGTGAGGAGCGGCCACATGGAAACAGAGGGTCAGGGAAAACTTACGGCACGACAGGCCAGTTTGCATAAAACAGCCCAAAACTGTCTTCACTGCACTCTACGTATTTATAGAAACATCTAGTGACTAAAGTAGGTTATAAATCCTAGAGCTCATTTTTTCCCAGCAAAACAGCCTCCACGCCACAAGCTTTTTCCAAATAGGACAATGCCATCAAGGTATTTCAGTATTTTTTAAGACGAAAATGGAAACTCTTGCGGAACACACAAGCTCAGCATCTCGGATTCCCAGAAAGAAATTGCTGTAACACTGTGGTAAAGAGACTTGCAGACAACCACAGAAAGCTCAGAGCTCAGCAGAACGGCCAGAGTTACCAGAGTCCAGCTCTAATGACAATAAATCCACAGGATGTGATGTGTACCAACACACTCATGCGGTTCGTTTTAACAGCAGACTGTGGATGAGCAGAACTTAATGCTCATGAATGCAAATGAACAGAGAGCATGCAGGATTACAGTTGCAAGGCAAAAAGCTGACATGGAGCATGCATCTAGGACAGGACTTTCAGCTGTTGTGCACAGAAAAGACAGCTGAACTGGAGAACTGCAACTTAAAACTATCAGATTACAATAAGAAAGCTTTGTTTTCCCAGCGGAAACTAGAAATGAACCAACAGTAAAAAGTAATATATGCCTGTTTATCCTTGCAGACAGGAATGGGAACACATTTTTGTGTGAATATAGGAAGAACGCTACACACACACACACACACACACACAAGCGCTCACTGCATAGTTTCCCAGTAGTCTCTCTGTCTCCTCGGTTTAAGCGGGTGGAATCGTTTGGAGCAATGTGGCTCACTTCTTCCCTGCGCTGACTTGTTTTCCACCCAGCGAGCACATTCAAACTTCACTCGTGGCTGCTTTATTTAACACTGCATTTGTTGACAAGTCTCGGAGCAAAGTTCCCCACGCAGAACCCTGGGTGCTGAACTTGAGAACATCAAATACAAACAATGCCGACCAGAACAGAGTGCCCTACCCCCTGAGGGCGAGATGTTGCTTCATCGGCACCGAGAAAAACATCAACCGGTCTACTAGGACAGCGAGGGAATGACCCCCAAGGCACGCTCAGCGAGAGACGGTCTAGACCTCTTCCAGCACTGTTTGCAGCTGCAGCGACTTCCATTCCTCAGTGTCAGGAGCGTGCCCTCTTTCCTGTCTCTGCTGTCACAATATTTCATCCGGCGTAAGTAGCACATGTCCCACACGTACCTAGACTCACCAGCCAGGAGCTCCCAGCAGCGTCTATATGCCCGCGGACGCTCTTGCACGCCGGCTGACTCCTGACAAAACAGAAAGCCCTGATAGATTACAGCAAGAATGATCAATCACACACAAACCTTTTAATCCAGATCGTCCCGATTGGCTGCCTCCGCATGAGCTCCAGATTTTTAAATCCGACTGGTTAATCCCTCCATTTCTCTCAGATTCAGTATTTCAGCAGTGACCACAGTGGACTCTAACATTCACTTGGCTTTTTTCTCTCCCTCCCTCGTTCTCTCTCTCTCTTTGCACTCTGTTCTGAGACCGCTCACTGAGCTCTGGAACTAAGGGAGCCTGATGAGGAGGGAAGAGACTCGCTGGGTCCTAGAGTCTCTGGTGTTAACTGAAAGAATGCCATTGTTTTATGTGTAACCCAGGGCTACATTCTACAGACGGCTGATAAGTCCTGCACTGTGCCAGATCCACTGCTGGGGTATTTGTAGATGGATAGAGATGGAGAGCTGTTCGATATCCATTACCTGGAAAACAATATAATAGTTGAAAGATAATTTACAAACTAACCTAATTTAAAAAATATATATATATATAATTTTCTTACTCAGTATGCTTGTGTTGTCTGCAGTATAAATATCTAAACATACTTGAAAAATATCTTAAAGTGAATTTATCTTGTTTTAAGCTTTTATTTTTGTGCAAAATGACATATCAAATCCTGTTTTAGAGGTTTTGGTAATAAAATCCAAAACAAAATAGTGTTCCATCCAAATTAGTTTTTTTTTTCTTTATTTGTCTTACTCCATTGTCAATTAGATTTCTCTAAAAAAAGACTTAATATTTTGTTTAGTTTTTTCAAGTAAATATATCTTGTTTTATCGATCATGAGATATTTTTACTGTATATATCTAGAGGTCATGGAAACTCTGATATAAGACTGACCTCCTTTTAGCATTTTCCCTGTTTGCTCAACTTTATTCGAATATTTACTGCTGCTTTGCATACTTGCAACTTGTGTGCTACATTCCTAGTCTCCTGGAGAAATACAGTACGATAGCTGAAAGTGGTTATTCACTGATATGATTTCAGATAAAATCTGTCTTCATTGTAAGATCTAAAATGTAATCTGCAGGTTTAACATCAGTGATATCGTGTGACTAATTGCAATGCAGCAAGATCAAATAGAGGCAACAGAAAATACTGTATGGTTTGATAGCTACTGCATAGCTTTAGTAAAAGAATTGTGCACAGGTCATATTAACTGGTTTTATATTTCATGGTGCTTTTTGGAGACTGACAGTACAAATCTACTGATGTGTAAGGAAAAGAGCATCTTGAATATTCTACCTAACATCTGTTACACATGAAGATGAGCTGATGAGAATTTTTATTTGAAATAGTCCTTTAAAGGGTTAATATCTGACCATGTACTGAGACTTTTCAAATAAATTGCTTAAGTATGTCATAACGAAATCCCTCCATGACATCAGCAGCATCCAAGCACACAAATCATTACCATTACCAAAAACAAATTATTCCAAAAGGTCAAAACCCCTACTTTTATCTCCCTTTCTATCCTTAGAAAACATACTGAAAACAAAAGCCTCATTTTAGCTCTACCCTTCAAAACATACTAATATTTAAACCCCAAATCCTTTGCTACCACTCTGAAGTGTTTGCTATTGCAAATGTGGCAGCAATGCTAAAACTATTATGTGCACGGACACTACAGCCAGGGCTATAAATATAAGCAACACATGGAGCGGCAGACTGCAAAACAGGGGGAAATTTGGGCTGCTTGTATCTGTCAAGAGCTGCACGAATCAGGCCGCCGGCCATATGATCAGCCTGGAGGCTGAGTCCACCTCCTCAGCAGGGAGCTTTGTAACTGCGCTTCTCGTTTCTTTTTCAAAAAACAGATTGAGAGAGAGGGGGGGGTTTGTAAAATACCCTGGATGCTTATGTGAAGAATGCCTCGTGAGGATCATAAAGTGTCTCAAATGAAACTTGGCCCTTATCTAAATAACAGTTGACTAATGTGCTCACAATGTAAACACAGTGGCTTACCGCAAATCTTGGGGGCTCCCCGTGAACCATGAGATGGGGCCCTGGACACAAGTCCATACATCATGCAGTGTTTCTTCTCGGGGGTAAAACAGCATCTGATGGACACAGACAGACACAGACACTCTCAAATCCTTATTTATCTATTTATATGCAGATATATCGTTCTAGATTTAGTTTCAGCCAGTAGAGTATGCAAATTCTAACCAGTTAGTAAACAATTACAAGCATGATACATTGTTTTCCACGATTGTGATTTCTTTGTAAACACATTTGTGTTGAATTTGCACAGCATTAAAAAGCCAAGCAACACAATATAGTACCTGCTTTCATGCAACATGTAAACAGAGTAAATTTGCTCTGTATCTGCAGTTTAACCCTAATATAATTGGCTCATAATGGCTTGAGGGTCCATTGTTTGACAGTGTGTATATATGGCTGAATTGTGAGCACATCTTTACTATAACAAAATCTATGTGTAAAGGGAAACAAATGCCTGTGTCCTTGACTGATGTGTAAAAAAACAGAGCTATTGGCTTTTATGTTATGTGAATGAAGCCAGACTTGTGAGCACGAGAGCTTTCCAAAACTGTACATTTTCAGATCAAGCAGTTAATCATGTTCAATAACGTTTCAGTAACAGAAACCAACTGAGCTGCCAAATGCTCTGGCCTCTGAACGTCTGGCAAAAAGATCCAGCTTTTGCAGCAGCTGTAGGATGGAATTCTGTTTGTGTTTCCCAGTTCAAGTGCCACTAAACATATAATAAATAACAGCGCATCTCAGTATAAGGCAAAATCTGTATGAGTAGGTTGCATATATGCAATGTAGCAAAAAGTGATTTACATAATTTTTTATATATTAACATATATAAATTACTCTCATGATGCCATAATAAATTAAAAAAACTTATCATGAGAGAAAATGCACATTAGAATTTTGCCTTATTAAACAAATGTATACAGTATGATTGGATGAACAACGATATAACACACCTGTGATTGCACATCAATTGATTTCTATATTAATGTGCATTCATCTATGATCATTATGTTGCTTGGCAACCATAAACAGCCAGCAGTTGAGCTAATTAATTATATTACTTAGCAGGAGAATTGTTTATGATCATTAACAAATGTAATTATTTATTGAACATAAGTGTCTGCTATCATATTGATGTTGCCATTTAATAAAAACAATAAGCCACTTGAGGATATTACAATGATTTTTCCATATCACATTTCCCATCACCCTATCTTAAAATCAGTGGCTTATTGTTTAATAAATGTAAATTGTACAGAGAAGTGCTCCATAAGCACACTAGTAAACTATGAGAGAATAAACAAAGTGGGAATAAAAAATGTATAATGTCGATGACACTGTTGTTGATACAGAAATTAATTAGTGTCCATACCTTTCCTATATCACACTCTTTTTCGCTGTACTCATTAAAATGATTTACATACAGCAGTCATAAGAATAACACAATTAATGTTCCTCTCAGTTAATTACTCCACCTTCCTCTGTCACATCTTCGAATGCATTTGAAAAAAAAAAAATACAAAGCCCAGATGAATGTCTTCATCATATAATATTTTGCCCAAGGCACTTAAGTGAATTAATGTAGCATAATTCTGCTTGCTTGGTGCAATCAAAGGATTAGAAATATGCATTTTTCAAATGATATTTCAGGCAACACTTACTGAGAATAAAATATGAATATGTCTCTGAACTAAGCAGAACCCTGGTAAACAGTCAGGTTGTTGCCTACAACCAAGAAGTGATTTCTGTGTGGTTTCATATTCTATTGCGAAACCTGTTCAGTGAATCAGAGTGAACCATTTGCATACTGTACGATTACAAGCAGAACATTTAATTTGGTGGGAAAATGCTTGAAATGATCTCTGTGTTTGATATAAGAGTTTGATCAAGGGTGAATCTTACAAAACCTGTCAACACCAACATCAAAACAAAGAAAGAAGAAATCAAGAAATCTTTCTTTTGTAAGAAAATGAAACCTATTTTAGAATGAAATTATTTTAAATCTTGCACATTTCCCGCCATTCTCATTGCCATGCAAAAACAAACCAATAAAACTAAAACTAATTCTCAGAATTTTTTTTTGTATTTAACACAATTAAATTATAAAAAATAACACTCTCATTAGTGCAATTTGAAAATATATTTCTATAGTGCTTTCAGATAAATTTTTTCCCAGTCTTTATTAGCACAAATTAGTGTTTAGAATTTACTAATTACAAATAGTTAATTATTAAAATGAAAGTCTACTGACAATATGAATTTTAAAAAATCCAGATGCATTTATAGGGATGAGAATTTGGGGTAAATGTCCAATGTTTCATAATGAATGAATGACTAAACAACAAAACAATTAACACACATTATTGATTTTGGGGTGAAATTTGACCTGGGCAGAGTTTCACCCAGTAATACCTCCTATTGAGTTTAAAACTCAAATAAAAAATAATCAACAGATCTTTAAAACACACCTCTCATCTCACTGTTCTGTCATTCCAAATGAACCACAGTCAGATACAGCTGTTTCTGCAAAGAGTAATAAAAACCAATCCTTGCTAAATGCTGCATTCATCCTGTATTATTTATGCTGCATTATCGGAGTCAAACCTACCTGAGCAAAAATGACCTGTACACAAGAGATGCAAGAAATGGAACAGTGCTCTTGCATGAGTATGAATATGATCCAGGCACGTAATAGGATATAATGCAAACCATACTACTTAAACCACTCAACCGATTCCCACCGACAAAACTCAATAAACATTGTTTACACAGCAGAGGTGGATCTGCGCACATCTTTAACTACTGTGCTGTTTTCTCTGCGCACGGTAGCAGAAAATAACTCAAGAGACCGCGTATAAGAGTTGCCCCCACATAATTGAAATAAGTGGTGAAATCCGTTAGCTTCGAATCCTCCCAGTGCGATTCAGGGATGGGCAACTAGTCTCACACTATGAGCTGAAATGTTCTTTCACGGGCATGCAGCATCAACTCATATCTATAATGTGACACAAGGGACAATAACCATTATTATAATCTATTGAAGTCTGGGAAGCTAATAGACACCCAAAACAGAATGAGGCGGCGCTGCCTCGCTGCTGGGGAGAAACGAGGGCGATTGTTTTTCACTCTCTGCGAGAGTGTGAGCAAAGAGCAGGGAGAACGGGTGATGGATCTAGCACAGCCACGCGCCTGCCGACCGAAAAATCAATCACAGTAATGGCTGGCGCTTCCGCAACGATTCTCCCGCAGAATGAAACGCAGCTTTAATGTGATATGCA